GCCCCATTAAACGATTCAGTTGATTGTGGCGATGGTTGGTGTATGTGTCAGCATTGGAATTAGAAATATGACAATCTACCAGTGGACCTACTATACCCAACATGACATGTGGTCATCGCTTCACTGTGGTCACTCCATGCATCATCATCATCCTAGCTTCTTTGCTAGATCATCTTCTGCCAATTTCATAACCATACCGAATAAAAAGAAGAGATCAGGTATCTGTAATTATATGCCGGTGAGACTATATGACAAAGTCACGGGTTAGCAGACTTCTGCAATAAAATTAAGAAAAAAAATCTAAATTTAATATAATTTGTGGATGGTGACTAGCAGTGGAATCCAGGATGCTCATTTCGTCCTATTTGGGACTCGTTCAGACATCGTCGAAGCATCTGCACAAGAAGCCAACAGACATGTCAACCTGAGACCGAGCACTACGGTCCAATCAATCGACGGGAAAATCTAAAATTCAATTGAATCTAAATTTAGATCTTCTTCAGGCTTTACTCTAATTTACATAGACTTATATATAAAATTTTAACCAATGACGGTGATTTTAGGAATCATATGATAATAATAATGTGGTAAATGTTTTGAACGAAATTAATTACGATGATTATTATCGAACATGCGAAAAATGACGTCACATCCCACTGTATTTACCAATTTGAATGTTTGTGTGGACACATACATAGGGAGGACTCATCGATCTCTGCAAGTAAGGTGGCTTCACAGCATATTCCTAAATGGCTCCAGAAACAAATAGAATCTTCAGAACCCATTAATGGTGAGAACAGGAGACCTAGCTCTTCTATTGCGAAACATATTATAGAGACAGGACATAAAATTGACGTTAACAGATCTTTTAAACCTATCTATAAAACGTGTTTGGGGCGTATCCTAAAGTTTGTGGAAGCCTTAGCTAGCAATTAGAAAGTTTAAGCCACATTTATGCGTTCAAAAACAATTCGTCATCACATTAAACCTTCCTTTGTAAATTTTGTTTTGATACCATAGCAGATGTACTATTACCTCTGCTATTTGGTTTAGTGGTCTTCATTGTTATTTTCACCTTCAATATGTTCTTTTGACTTGACCTAAGTCTATTTCTATTTCTCACCTCTTACCTCTTTATTAATTTCATATATACACATTCCTATGACAATTCCGTGTGTGATCAGATTGTTCGAAATGTGTTGCGCAAATACCACATTACACGATTCAGACAAATTACGTCTTCCTTCTTATTTCTTTCTGTAAATTCATAAAGCGAACCAACTGTTTTAGATTATAATGATAACAAAATATTGATAATAGGGTTTATGTAGGTGATAAGAAAAACAAAGATAGTACATGTATATATGCGTACATGTAGACAATTCAATAAATAAATAAATTAGGTCAAATCTTAAAAGGTGAAGTGGAACGATAATCAGAGTTTAAATAAATATTATAAAAGTACGAAGGAGATGGAAAATAAGAGAGGGTGGGAGGGGTTTGAATAGAATTCACCTAGGCTAGGCAAGGGAGAGACAAAGGTAGAACAAACTTCTTTTGTTGTATGCAAAGACTAGGATTGTTCTCTCGAATTCCCATAGCTTCGGCTAGGTGTAAAAGACGAGTTCTGATTCCATTCGAAAGACTCGATGGAATACGATAGATAACTTTGAAGGAGCACTATTTTTGTCCACTTGGTGACCGCTATCAATCAAATGAGCCAAAATAGAACTTCTTATAGATTTTATTTAACCTTTTCCAAACCATGAAGGAAGATGCTCATCAATGTGTTTGTTAAGCTGTCTAGTTGTTCGCCCTATATAGCTTTCTCCACAGGAGCAACTAAATTTATAGATACACATAGATGTGGCACAGCTAGGTAGCTTATGTTTCACTTGAGCAATCATAATTGATCTGCAGCTGGAAAATGACAAACAAAAGGTGGTGGCAGTATAAGTCCATTTTATCGCTCTCGATAATCTCAGATGTAAGACTTCTCTAGCCACGTCCCCATTAAATTGGTTAAAATTTTATATATAAGTCTATGTAAATAAGAGTAAATCCTGAAGAAGATCTAATTGAAAACAATGTTGTTCGCTTATATGTCTTGTTCTAATATTATAAATGGGAATATTTAAAGAATCTAAATTTAACAGTTTCAAAAAGTTAGTTACTGAATAAATGATACTCCTGACTTAATGTTCATACTACTCAATGAATAAAAAGCCTTAACAAGATATCATTAATAGAACCATTGAAAACTAGGGAGTAATGGATATCCGTTTCGTCCTAGTCAGCAACTCTTCAGTAGTATGCACCCATGACCTCACTGGGTACTGAACCCAGGATGTTCAGTTTTTATGATGCAAGCTCGTGAACCACTCAGCCACTGAGATGAGATTCAATAACGGCTCCAGTCAATGTTATCGGTGGACGTCTCACAATAGTAGAATCGTTAATGAGCTAACCTTATGACCTTACGGTTTTGGTTTCATTGCCCAGGAAAATCTTGTCAGAGAAACTTTCAATATTATAAAGTTTTCAATGAAGGGATTTATGCAGTGCAGACTTTATTTATTGTTCCCTTGGGTTCCTAGTGGAACATAGGGCTTCAACTGCACGTCTCCACTTGCTTCTATCTTCTGCTGTACTTTTCACTTGCATCCATGTGAGTCCATACTGTTTCAACTCTCCTTCACACTATCTCCTCCATGTCACCCTTGCACTGACGTCCCACTCACCGCTTCCCTTCGGGTTCCACTCGAGAGTCTGACACACGATGTCACTCAGCGGCCTCCTCAGCGAGTGTCCGATCCATCTCCACATTCTCCTGCATATCTTTTGGGTGATAAGTTCTTATTTTGTTTGTCCCCTTAGTTTGTTATTGGTGATTCTTTCCGGCGGCCATCTGATCTTCAGTAGTGTAGAGCGAAGACAGTTGTTGATGAAGGTCTGCAACAGGCTGTTGGAAATATTCTTTGTGACCCGCCAAGTTTCTGATCAGTACGTATAGAAGAACTGACTGACTTGACGTTTGTATTGAAAATCCGAATTTTGTTGTTGATGCAGGCTGAGTGACGAAGATTTCCAGATTGGTTGGTTTCAGGTTGATGAATGTGTTTCTCGCCTTCCCGATTCTCGATTTAACATCTTCGTCAAATAGTTTTCCAACAGTCAGTGTTGGGAGTTATTGATTCTTCACACAAAAATCACCATTTAATCTGACCCCCCAGTTGAATTGGACTCAAAAATTTCCTATCTTACTCTTGGGAAATGATATATCTCTTAACTACAATAGTTTTCGTAATACAACAACTCCAAATTTAAATGTGATCACGGATTAATATCAGTTAGAGATTTATTGAAAACTAAACTAAGGGGAAACAGCTGATCAGTACTCCACGGTGGTGATTGTGTCTAATGATTAACGGCAGAACAAAGGTGCATAGCGTTCTAGTGGACAGTGGTGACCAGTGGAATGCACCACGTTGGGTTCAGCGACACTGGCTTACTCCTGATGAGTCCCAAATGAAGGCTAAACAACTGTTCATTTCTCCTTTGTTTTCAGTGGTTCTCAAACTCATATTAGTCCGTGATCTGACCGAACTTGAAAATGATCAAATCCCTACAAACTAACACTTGTAAATTAAGTGAGAAAGATACTAAAATAAAGGGAACCCGCTGTATGAATTTCCAGGGGCGACATCTCCCTACAAAACCAGTCAAATCATAAATTAGTGAATTTTATGCTACAGAATAGCACGAGGAAGAGAAACTTCCAGAATTAAATTCTACGAGGAGTGTCTCGAAACCGGTTATTATCCACATCAGATCGACTAAACTACCTCCAACTCAGAACAGTCTACATTGCATCACGAAACCAAATATTAATTCATCACCACCTTGTGGTCAGATATAGTCACCAAATTTGACAGTCTACTGGAAAGAAACTTTCAATTTTCGTTGTATCGGATAAGCTTGATTAACTCCACGAAAACTGCAAATATGTTTGTTCATTCTTTAGTCAAATTCAGATAAAGCGACCGACTGTATGTGCGACGGTGGCACAGCGGTTAGGACTATCACCGACCATGCACATGGTCGGCCTGCGAATTTCGGGCTACCGATATCACATGCTGAAAATTCCATACTTGTACCAAAAATACTGTGTGGTTTCAAGCTATAATAAAAAAATGGATTTTCAAGTATTGGTTTGTAGGGATTTGCTTGATTGGTTACGGGATTTCATCATGAGCTGCGTACTGCTAAAGGGTCCCAAATTAGGACGAAACAGCTGTCCAGTACTCCCAAGTTTTTCAATGGTTCTGTAACCAATGTCAGCTCATGCTGAAATCCTGTAACCAAAAATAGATTTCATTGTAGTTTTACTATTCATTGCCGAATCGCTTCATCTAGGAAAATAAAATGTACTACAGATATCACAATAACACAGCAATGACAGCTGTTTACCATTCGTAGATTAAATTTTATATAATATCTAATATAAATATATGGGAAATAAAACTTATTGGGTAAGCGACTAATATCGTCAAAACAAATGATAACGCCAATTGGGATTGGTTAAACAATACGACCAATAGGAATGATATAGAGTTTACAGTTGTCCAGACCATCATACATGTTCACATCTTTGCTGGTGTCTTTTCATTTTTACAAAATGAAGATTTTCACACTCACTCAGTTGTATGCATGATATATGCTGAACACTACACACAAAAAGAGAAGGTATCCATGAAATGAAAAAGGTCAACACTTCTGGTCAACTTTAAACAGTTTTAATCTGTTGTGAGCAAATAGCTGTTATCTTTTGCTCATGTTCTGTAATGTCATGAATGCTTACAGAAAAGAAACAGAATATCAAGTTGAATATATTTCAAGAATTGCACCACCTTATGCAATCCTTATTCTATTTGGATTTATTACTATCCCTATACATACGTTTATTTTACATAATTAACTTGATTATCGAATTATACAGTATGAATTCTGTAAAACAGATCACTTTTTATGCTAAAGAACATCCGGAACCGAATACCCTGTTGGGGAATATATTTACTGCTAGTGGAATATTAGATAGTACAGTGAAGAGTATTCGATTGGAGGCATTAGATGCTCAATGGTCAAGTTGTTTTCGTATCGATCGGCGTACAGGGGATTTATACACGACGAATGAAGCGAAACACATTCTGGATAGTGAAAAGCTATGCATGAATAATCAAAATAATAATAAAAGAATAATATCAAGTGGAGTTTATACCCCGACGAGGATGAGTATTCACCATTACTGTACAGTTAATTTACTGATTTCAATAAATAATCGTATCCTTATCACTATTAATGTACAAATTGAAGACATTAACGATAATGCTCCAGTTTTACCAGACTCTAATTTACAAAGGATATTTATTAATGAAACATCTCTACCAGAGGTGACTAGAATCTCGTTGAAACCAGCTTATGATGCAGATTTCAATGGATATAATCAGTTGTATTACTATCTTAGTATTATTAATGATAATAATAGTAATAATAATAATATTAATGACCTTGATGACGGTATAAATCCTTTTCGTATTGAATACAAGTCACAATTGAATGGATCTAACATGTCTGACGATTTAAATCTAATTTTAACAAAACCTTTAGATTATGAAAGTCAATCAGAGTATAAAATGAACTTAACAGTCTGTGACGGTAATCTCAAGACCAAGTATACAATTGTTCATTGTTCATCACAAATGTTACTGGTTAGTGTGAATAATGTAAACGATGAATTGCCATGGTTTGAAGCGACTAATTATACTGCTGTTATAAAAGAAACTACACTGATTGGCAGTGATATTTTAAAGGTGACTGCCAAAGACAACGATGCCAGCCCATACAATGAAATCTATTATCGTATATTAATGCCTAGTTCAGATAGGTTGTTAATGTTCAATTCACACGATTTATTTCAAATTCAACCGAGAACCGGTGTTATCAGTTTGGCGAAACCGCTTCCTAAACCAGGGGAGTATAAGTTTCTTGTACAAGCTTTAGAAAATGCTGACACTGGCGACTATGACACGTCAGTCAATAATGATAATAATAGTTCAACAGGGGATGCACATCGTTTAGCCAAAGGTGTTACACACGAAGCCGTGAATAATGCCCATAATAATAATAATAATATTGCCAGCGTTTATATTCAAGTATTGGATGTGAATAATCATGCGCCTAGAATTGAAATTCAACAAACTCATGATTCTGTATTGCACTACTCAAATCCTCCTACCACTCAACCACCACCTCTTAAAAGCATAAATGGTAATTATACAAAATTTATTTTATTAAATATTTCTGAAAATGTTTTGATAAATACACCTATAGCTTATTTCAAAATTACTGATGAAGATCAGTTGAAGAATGCTGAAACAACCTGTAAACTAATACGTTCCAATGATGGTGAACCGTTTCTCTACGCCAGAAAAGATAACAATTATCAAGCGGATTTATTCTTCAAACTGATACCTGTGAATCGTATAAGTGAACATGTGACAATACAAAAGTTAATGTTAGTCAGACAGTTAGACGCCGAAGATTTGCACGAAGATCTGCTACTGAAAGAAGTTGAACCTCCAGTGAAGTTAGCAAGTAGCATTGCTGGTTACTTGGGCATACTACTGGTGTGCAGTGATTTTGGTACACCGAAACTATCCACATCTATGCCTATTATTATTGCAGTTGATGATGTTAATGAATTTTATCCAAGCATCGAGGTGATCAAGTCGTCAACATATGCATCTTTAGTATTCAAGAAGTCATTTTAATCAAACCTACATGTATGACGTGAATATAACAGAAAATATCCCGATCGGATCACAGATTGTTCAAATCATGGCTACCGATAAAGACATCAAAGCCGTCATCGAGTTTGTACAGTCTACCAAGTTGACAACACCACCATTTATAATTGATAAATCTAAGGGTGTTCTAAAGACTAATGCTGAAATAGACTATGAATATACTACTAATTACAAACTGGTCATTCATGTACATGATATGAAACCGCCAGAGTTGTCACTGACAACAACAGTCACACTGAATATTTTCATTGAAGACATGAATGACAATCCACCGGAGTTTATCTCTCCGCCGCCGAGTGAAATTCAATTCGATGGTTATACAGTCGTTGAACCGATACGAAAATATCAGAACAGCTTAAAAATTATCGAGTTTGAAGAGGAGACTATTCACACTAAACCATTGGGTAGAGTTCGAGCTGTAGATCGTGACAGTGGCAGGAATGCTGAAATAATTTATTTTATTGCCGAGATTTCAACTGATTTGGCAGGTGATCCGTTGAACAGAGAGAAACTCATCAGCTGGAATAATAATATTAATAAAGCTTCTAGTAATTTTTCAAGTCTCCCGAAAATATTAATCGATGCAGACGGTGCTTTATGGTGTGAAGGAAAGTTGGATAGAGAGAAGCTGCCGATTATTGATTTAGTGATTGGTGCTCATGATTTAGGCGAACCGAGATTAACCTCTTACACAAAGGTAAGAATTATCTTAAAAGATATTAATGATAATCAACCAGAATGGCAATTTCCAACTGAGAAAGACTTTTTAGTCGCTGTTTCAAAATCTGTCCCCATTGGGACAATAATTACGCGTGTTCGAGCCACTGATAAAGATGAACAGTCTAAAAATGGTCTTGTAAACTATTATATAGCAGATTTAGTAGCTGGGGACAATGAGATCACCTCTAAATCAGAGTTGTTGACAGGTAAACTCATTGCACACATTTTTGAAATGGATTTAAAATCGGGTGAATTAAGAGTGAAGCAATCGCTTACTGACCTACCGGATGGATTTCTTGAAATATTGTTGAAAGCTGAAGACAACGGTAGAACTCCTCAAAAATCATTGGCTAAATTAATCCTGTATATAACAAATGACAGTGATCTTTTAAAAATGAACACTCCAGAGAAATTACTAGCCTTTTATCAAAAAGAAAAACATACAAAGCTACTGAATTCCCAGCTACTTACATTTGGAAAATTCAATGAAATGATTCCTTCACTGATGAATTCAGATTCTAGTAGTTTGTATATACGTCGTACTGTAGGACAACAAGATAGAGGGAGTGTCAGGCATTTATCAATTGTAATTGGTGCTTCAATAATTGGTGCTATCACTGTCATTTGCTTAGTTGCTTTATTAATTGGCTTAAAGTTCACTACACGTTTTCAAAATCGTACAAAATTCATATCGACTACAAAAAAGGATAAAAATGACTACAATCCAAAGAAGAAGAAGAAGAAGATTGAGTCTGCTAACAGTTGTATAAAACACGTATCTCATCATTCATGCATAAACTCTGGCAACCCAGTAGAAATAATACCTAATGATTCGAATAGTGTTCACAGCCTGATGAAATGTATGCATAAAATAGAAATAAATGACTCAAATAACGAAAAATTATTTTCGCCATCATTAACTCAAAACTATTTCCGATGTTCTCCAACTTCGATTCAAACCAGTATACCAGTGAGTATGATAAGAAATCCTGAAGATATTCATTATTTGCCGATCCATTCAACGTTAGATTTAACTGAGAATATTCCTTTAAGACTTCTGCATGTATCCAACGACAAGCTTACTGAATCTCAATGTTCGAATTTCAATACAAATCATAAAAACAATGAGAACAGTGATACCAGTGATAATAATACTATTACTACTAATAATAATAATCGACAGTAGTGCTAACGAATTAGTGACACCACATTCCCTTACAATTATTGCTTCAGTTGTACCTACATGTAATATAAAAACAGCTTTACTTCCAATGCTATCACAAGATCATTGTAGTGAACTGATGACATCTAGTGGGATAACTTTGCTAAATGAAGAAGATATTATCAAGGTGGGAAATTTATCACATTCCACAACAACAGGTTATACCGATTTTCCCGCGTGTATTTTCTCAACAACAACAACAGCAATTACTGCTACTACAAATACCTCATAATATATATATGCATGCTATTGAGAACACCAACCAACCAACCTACCAACGATCTCGCATACTACACTGCTGTTCAATCATTTCCAAAAATGGTACTTTTTAATGCATATTTTTATTAGGCTTTTAAGAGTAATATTGATGTATATGTAGTTAGTGAGATATGTATCTTTATGTGTGTATGTATAGAACGAAGTATGTTGTTTTCAAGTGATTTATTTGTGTAACTCTAAAAATCTTTGTGTAATTCAAAATACAGTCTAAAATATTACTGACTATAAACCATTTATTGCTTTATCTTATCAGTCTTGTGACAACAATCTATTATTATTATATTATTGTGGTCCCTTGGGTTCCTAGTGGAACATAGGGCTTCAGCTGCACGTCTTCTCCCGTACTTTTCACTTTTCCTCCTCACACGATCTCCTCCATGTCACCCATGGACGTCCCACTCGCCACTTCCCTTTCGGGTTCCACTCGAGCTATGGCCTGACGCGCGATGTCACCCAGCGGCCTCCTCAGCAGTGAGTGTACAATCCATCTCCACTTTCTCCTGCATATTTGTTGGGCGATTGGTTCTTGTTTTGTTTGTTCCCATAGTTTCTCGTTGGTGATTCTTTCCGGCGGCCATCTGATCTTCAGTATAGAGCGAAGACAGTTGTTGTTGATAAAGGTCTGCAACAGGCTGTTGGAAATATTCTTTGTGACACGCCAAGTTTCTGATCCGTATAGAAGAACTGACTGACTTGACGTTTGTATTGAAAATCCGAATTTTGTTGTTGATGCAGGCTGAGTGACGAAGATTTCCAGATTGGTTTCAGGTTGATGAATGTGTTTCTCGCCTTCCCGATTCTCGATTTGACATCCTCGTCCGTTCCTCCTGTAGTTGAGACAATGCTCCCTAGATAAGTGAATGAAGTAACCTCTTTCAAATCCCTCCCGTTGATGGTGATTGGCGCTGGATGCTGCTGCTGCTGTTGTTGTTGTTGGTTGGTTATTTTCATAACCTCCGTCTTTTCTATGTTCACCTCGAGTCCTGTCTTTGCTGCCAGTCTCTTCGACCAGTTTGTCGGTTTTCGCTTGTAATTCTTCGATTTTGTGTGACATCAAACATAAATCATCCACGCGCGAAATCCAGGTCTTCTAGGTTCTTCACGTTGGTCAGTACAGGATATGCCTGTCTTCTCGTTTCCCACTGTCTGACACATAATCCAGTCCACCACAATTAGGAATATCATTGGTGATAATAAGCACTCTTGTCTGACTCCTGTGTTTACTCCAAACGCCTCGCTGAGTTTTCCGCTGTGGATCACTTGACATATGCCGTTGTCGTACAGCTGTTGAATAAGGTTGATGAATATTTGGGGTACGCCGTAGTACTCGAGTAGTTTCCAAATTACTTCGCGGTCAACGCTGTCGAAGGCCTTCTCAAAGTCTATAAAGTTGAGGTAGAGGTTTGATTGTCATTCCATGCTTTGTTCGATGATGTTGCATAGAGTTGCAATTTGTTCCGAGAATGATTTGCCTTTCCTGAATCCAGCTTGTTCTGGTAGGAATTCTGCATCCAGTGCGTCCTTTATTCTCTCCAGGATGATGCGACTCAGGATTTTACTTGGCGTTGACAGGAGCATGATTCTTCGCCAGTTCTTGCAGAGTCCTAAGTGTGACAACAATCTATGCTAATCTAATTCAATCATGATTGTTAGTTATGCTGGGCTAATTTGTTGTGTGGATGACCACCTATTTTCATGATTTTTAGTAAAAGCTGGAACCCAGAGACTATTTGGATCAGGTCACAGGGGCTGAATGATCTAAGAAGTTGCCTTGTAGTAGCCGGAAGGTCATCTGTTCGCAGCCCCCTGGGTGCGTACTGTTGAAGACTTCCAAACTAGGATGAAACAGCTGTCCAATACTCCTTGGTGGTCTTCCAGTGGTTGTCTAACTGTTGTCACCTCACTATATCAAACCCGTAGGAAGTTTACTGTTTGAAACAAATTTCAGAATATAATAAGAAAATTATTATGCTTAGATTAAATTCCGTCCCTGTGATTGAATGGTCAGTGGGCTGACTTCATAACGTAAAGCATGTAGGTTCGATTTCTGGTGGTTGGGTCATTATTATATGTAAAATAAAGTATAATTATATTTCAATAGTTTACATATAATGATACTTTTTGTTATTGGTAATTTTGCTCGAAATATAAGCAATAACAAAACTTATCATTGTGTGCAAACTATTGAAACATGATTATACTTTATTTGATCTATTGCACAATGCTCAAACGTTTTAGTGACATTGTTATATATATTGTTGAAGAGTCTCAAACTAGGACGAAACAACTGTCTATTTCTCCCACGTTTTCAATAGTTCTCTAACTGAAATCAATCAATTTTCTACAAACTGACACTTGAAAATTCATCTGACATGACAACGTTGCATTAAAGTTTTAGCAGGAAGTTGTGAACACTAGGGTCCCACAAGGTTGAGTGTGACGACAAATTATCGCCAATGAAATTGACCGGCAGTGGTGCTTAAAATCCCAAATTGACGGGAGTGAGAGTTCATGAACTACTAGATTTAGTTCTAGTGAGTGAATGATCAATGAGTTTGCCTAGTAATCTGAAGGATCTGGGGTCGATCTTCCGTGGATTCATGCGGTTGTAATGCTTATGAGTCTGAAATTTGGACGAAACAACTGTCTAGCAGTCTTTCGTTTCCAGTAGGTCTCCAGCAGATGCCATTCCATGACGGAAATTCGAACTAATTTGTATCTCTTTGAATAGTCATTGAATTCATTGCAGTGTAGATTTCAACATAAAATCTAGCAAGGGGAACTGGATTTGGGTTCAATGTGAGACTCCTCAACAGTGATATTGGTGCCTGATGAAATTTGCATTGAAATAAACCACAATTGTCTAAAGATTCATACTCTTTAGATCACTCATCCGGTGATATTGGTGCCTTGTTCTTATTCGGATCTCCTCTCTGCAACCACATCACTTCCCGAAGTGATATAAATTAATTATTATGGTTGTGACTTATTTTCTTAATAGTAAGGATACAATAAACTGTCTAAAACCCTTCGTGAAGTGTTTCGATGAGGGAGATTTCCAATAACCGCTGCGGAATCCTAAGTGAAATCCCAATGAAAATAATAGCTAAATTTATATGTATATATTTATGCATTCCATCGTCTTACGTTGCATCAGTTAGAGTCTAGAAATTGAGTCACATCACAAAGAAAAACTGCTTAGTGTGTCCTGATTTCACCAGTGTTCTGTTACCGACCTGTATACACAACAATGTTCTCCATTTGCTAGCCAAGCTGCATATTGTTTCTGAGCGAGTTTTAAAAGTGTTAGCATGGCACGACTAATGCGCTGAGCTCCATAAGACCAAGTGAACTGGTATATCCGTGCTGATGTAGCCTAATGTGACAGCTTGTCTTTCACGTACTGGCCGAATAGTCTCTTGGAAGAAAGTGTTACTTGTAGCCAAGCAGCGAAGTATGTTTCACTGAGAGATTTTGTAGGTGGTTTTCAGTATCGCTTTTTAAGTTCTTGACTCAGCAGCAGGATCTTTTCAGGCGAGGCAACCTGTACCTGTTTCAGGTTTTCGTCTATGAGTCTCGAGGGGGGGAAGCAATTTTCAATCAAGATTCTTAGGAGATTTTGCAGCTGTCCATCAATAGATTCCTACGTTTGTTTACCCCATCTTCCTGCTTATTTTGTTACTAATACGTTTTTAATCCCCATGTGTAGTGTTGTTATTCGTTGTAATTTGACTCCCGACCGGAAATAGTAATGGAACTTTCTCACCACATTAATATATACACGCAAATGTACAGTCTAGTTGATAACTTCATAAAGAAGAACATTTTCTTCACTGCAACCGTTTATTTTACAATTTTTCCCTATGGTCTAATGTGTATATTAATTGTCGCTTGTATGCAATAAATTTGCCGAAAATAGCTCCGTTTTAACGTCTCTGACTGCAGCACTGGGTGATACTTGTTCGAATCTCAGAAGGGATGTGAGTTCCTTCAAGGTTGCAGATCCATCTTGCACCGTGATATTTTTTTGATTACAGCTTGATGCCACACCGTATTTTCAGTAGAAGTATGAAATTTTCAGCACGGATATCGGTAGCCCAAATTTTGCAGGCCGACCATAAATATCAGGTGTGCGTTGGCAGGGGATCGAACCTCGGACCATGTGCATGATCAGCTGGAGTCCTAACCACTGTACCACCGACACACCTAGAATGGTGACGACATTGCAAACTTGACTGACAGAATCCAGTCTGTATCAAAAAACGTTTTAGACAAATTACACCATTTATTGATTAGAGTCTGAACAAAGTACAGAAATATCCTATTGGTTTTGCCATCACTCTTCTGTCTTCAGTAGGCCTCCCTTTCTTTACTCTTGACAGCACTCTAAAGATGGCGACTATGTATCATACTTTTTCCCTTCACATTCCCCAGTGGAACATAGAGCCTCAAGCTAGTGGCTTGAAGTTTCTGTAGCAGTGTTTATTTTACAGGATGGGGTTGCTGGCCTCATGCCCGATCTTTCCTCTTCACCAGCATTATTTATGGCTTAGCGAGGTAAAGGAGTGCGTTGGTGGCCGATGATCGAGCCCCGGACCATGTGTATGGTCGGCGAGCGTCCTAACCGCTATGCCACTGACGCACATGAATCATATAGCTGCATGTAAAGTCATCATTAAAAAACCCATAGAAAACTGTCTTCCTCACAGAAAGGTGCATTAAGTGGATGCCATTACGATCCATATTTCAAGTAAGTTTGAGAAGTGACATCAATTGGAAAGCCACTGAATACCAGGGAGCACTGGACAGTTGTTTAGTCTGTGGTAGTACGCATCTACTATTTTTAATTGATTTAGAAATATTATTATCATAGCTTGATTTCACAGAGTAATCTTAGTACAGCTATGGAATTTTCAGCAAATAATATCGGTAACCCACATTTAATAGGCCAGCCAC